CTGTTTGCTCTGTGCTTCATGTCCGTTTGTATGTCCCCCCCCCCCCCAAAAAAAAAGTATCACACACACACATACCGGTAGTCTGAACTCCCAAGTATGTTGGATTTGGGGAAAGGGAAGGAGAGAATTTTTCAAAGCATCTCTAAAGGAAATGCCAACACATGGAAGCGTTTGAGTTAATTTGAGGAAAGCCTGAGTCATTGACCAGAGATTGACCACTCCAGAAATGGATATTATTACTTGTTAAAGCAGGCCAAATCCCCCTTCCCCACAGGGAGATGCTGTGACATTATTTGTTTGCCAGTAGAAACTTCAAAGCTCCAGGCAGGCTGGCTCTGTTTCAAATGGGCTGTTGTTTCTATTCTCAGGTTTACACATTTTGAGCATCTGGTGGCATTATTTTATTTTTTTTGCATTTCACTTTGATTGCTATTATTTTATTAAAGAATATTTTCATTAATAACAAAAAAACCCTCCCTGAAGTATAGAGTGTATGGCCAGAGTGCATGATTTAGGAAATGGAGGCATAACAATACAGAAAATAGCATCCTATTGGAATCCATAAAAGGAATATAGGTTACAAAATAATTTACAAAACAAATACCAGCCTTAGAATCCAAAACTAATATAAACTATAAATTATTTTTCAATTTTCACATATTTTATCATTGACCAAATAGTTTACAGATTTCTGTGTGGGGACTTGAATGCAGATTTCTCTCTTTGAGAAAAAAAACCCTAAATGAAATGTTTATAATTTATTGCATCCTTTAGGTTTAATTATTTAATATCGGCTACCATGAAGTAATTCCAATTCATGAAACAGAGTCCATATCTTTTCCCTTGCTGGTGGACAAATGAGTTGTTTGTGATTCGTATCTTTGCCGGTAATCTTTACAGTGTTAGAACAGCTATAAATGTGCATCTGTAGGAAAGAATCCTAGATACAGCAAGCTGTAGTTTTTGTTTTTTGAAGTTCACTGCTGAAATGACAAATCAGAGTTCTACCATGTTGTCTTCGCCTCTTCAGTCTTTGGAGAAGCTTCTGAAAATATTATTGTGAAGGCTGTTAAGGCAGCTGGTGGAGTATCAGTTTTCAATATATGGATGCTATGTCATTAAGGCCTACCTGAAACACACTTCACTTTGATTTATTTTATTCTTGTATTTCTGTGTGCTATATTTCTTGTAATCATAACTCTAAATATGCTGTCACCGAGAAACTGTAAATAGCATCAATAATTATAATTATAGCATGTGTCCAGCATTTCAGAATGTTAAATTATCAATATCATATTTTTTTTCTTTGACATTTTACTACTTTTATGAGTATTTTCACCCTTGGTGCAGAAGATACCTGCAGAATGTAGCTTTTCTACAGCCAATTAATGTCTTCCAGAACACAGTTTCTATTAGCGGGATTATCATAGAACCACGGAACTCGAAAGTTCATTGAGCCCAAGTCCATCAAGGTTCAGAAACTGAAATGAACCTGCTTTCCTATAACATTCTTCTAGGACACGGGTGTCAAATTCAAGGCTTGGGGGCCGGATCTGGCCCATGGGATACTTAGATCTGGCCCATGGGGCTGCCCTGTAAACAGCAAAGGACTGGCCCGTGGTGCCTCTGCCAGCTCCAAAACAGAGCTCGGGAAGGACACATGCAAGGTTCGTTTTTGCTGGCAGAGGGATGCAGGAGGCCCTTGCAGCCGAAAACAGAGCTCGGGAGCTCATTTTTGCTGGCAGAGCACTCAGGCCACCACAGTTGCCCCTGAATGAGTGGCACTGAGTTGGCTATGCCCACCATGGCCATGCCCACCCCATCCCCCAAGGTCAAACATAATCCTTATGCAGCCGACAATGAAATCGAGTTTGACACCCCTGTTCTAAGACAACAGAGAAACAGTGCAGCATTCTGTTGCATCTCTGAAAGCTCCACTTGGTCTTTTTTCCTCAAGGGTAATTCTCTCCATTGCTTCTTGAAAGTGATTCTAGGTCATTCTAATTGTTTTTTTAATTATTATTATTTCTTGTCTGTTACCTAATCTTTTAGCCCATGTGTAACGAATGTTGTTCTTCCAAATGTTTGATGGATGGTTTTCTTTGCATATCCCATTTCTGCTGAATAATAAATACAGAAGTATGTAGTTTTGCATACATAAGCTATTTTTCACTCCTTCTCATATCAGCTGATCAACTGCCCATTGCAATGACAGAGGTTTCCATAGGGCTGTATTCAGCGTGGTGTTGGCTGGCATCCCAGTGGCTTTTCACTGGGATGCTGGCTTGCAGTCAAAAACAGCTTGTGTAGGTGTGGACTTTTATCTGTCAAGCTGGGAACATGTGTAAAAAAATCTGGTTAGCATACTGTCACATTTTGTGCAGTTTTCTCTGCTGCATTCAACCAGTTTATGTGGCTGCTAGAGGGTGCAACAATCACAAAACAGTATGTTGAGGATCAGAACTTAGCTTCAAGGTCCAACCTCATGCATGACACCCTAATCCTACTTGAAATAGTTTTCATTGAAATAATTTTCTGTTTCCATCCTTCACAAAAATAACATCTTCAAAACATGTCACATAGCCACTTAGTTCAGAGAACATGCCAATACAAAAGGGTGTATTGAAGCCTTGCAGATTGTAGTGTATGGCATATATAGATATAAGAAAAGTGTATTCCTGGTTCATAATCCCTGGCAGTTTAAAGAAAAGAAAATCCTTTTTTAGAACACATCAGAAGACTATCTAATAAGAAGGCTGATTATTCTGAAGAGGATGTCACAAACTGGAAAAGGAAAAAAAACTGGGTTGAATACATTTAATGAAACATTTCCAGTAGAAGCAACAACATGGGACACAAATTTGTTTTATCTTTTTTGTATCAATATTGGAACTGGCCTGAAGCGAAAGAGAAAGGCTTTGGGTTAGTTACCATCTGGTGCATTTGCATAACGATATTGGCATTTTGAGAATGTGGGTTGAGTAGATCTGTGCTGAGTGTTTTTTGGCATGTGATAGTCATGGCATGATTGATTCATTGTGCATGCTGCTACTGGAAACGTTACTTTGCAGTCATCAGGCCACCACAGGGCTGCAAAAAAAAAAAGTTTGCTGCTAAGAGCAGGCTTATTTGTTGTTAATGCTTGAGTTAAACCTGGGAAGAATGGCATCTACACCTACTGTGTCAGTTCTAGCAGCCGTCATCCCACACCCACTTTGGATTCTTTACTTCTTTGTGCATTATAGTCGGATCTATCTTCAGAAAGAATTCAAAAACTTCAATTAGTCCAGTATGTGGATGCCAAGAACTGTGTCGCAACAGGAGAAGCAAGACTGAATTTCCTAAAGCTCTCCACGGATTGCCAGTTTGTTATTTGGATGATCTAATAATATTCTTGAAAGCTTATTCTTTCAATGTCCCAGAATCAAGTGGCGTATACTAAATTACAACTACTACTTTACTACCACCACTACTCTTGGGTAGCAGATTCTAAAAGGCTGATTGTTCCTTCATGAGATTTCCCATCAGCAGAGGTCATCAGAGGCTTCTGGCTTTTTGATATTAAACAGTTGGCAACCAGAAAAAGCTGTCCTTTTGCCTGAGCTTTGAGTAGCCATCAAGATTTTTTTATAATTTCTATTAGTTAAAAGGTATGTTTTCTGTACAAATCTCCAAAAATGATGTGTCCCAAGTATTCCTTGACTATTTTGAGGTTTGAATTATAGCAACAGCAACAGTACTTAGACTTACAGTATATACCACTTCATAGGGCTTTACAGCCCTCTCTAAGCAGTTTTCAGAGTCAACATATTGCTCCCAACAATCTGGATCCTCATTTTACCAACCTCGGAAGGATGGAAGTCTGAGTCCCTGTTATTCTGATAAAGTATCATTTTAAAAATCTGAAATTAAATTCTTTTTTTTACCATTTTGGATCAATTAGGGTGTAGCCTTATTAGAGGGAAGACCTTGCATGTTACATTTTGGAATCATATTTACAGCACAAAAGTTTGTCCTTTGCTTTAAATTGCTCTTCATACCTACATGCTTAGGGTAGAAATAAACTTTTAAATTTATTTTGTACTATTTATTTTTCTTATTTTTATTTCATTCTCTAAGATTAAAACAGACAGACAGACATAGACAGATGTCTATTTTCCTTTTTTTTTTTTTTGTATGCCAGTCTTGACTCTTGTTGACTTATTTATTGGGCTATTCCAGCAGTTTTCTTGGTAAGGTTTTTTTTGGAAGTGGTTTGCCCTTGCCTTCTTCCTGGGGTTGAGAAAAGTGACTGCCTCGAAATCACACAGCTGTCTTCACGCCTAAGGCAAGATAGAACTCATAGACTCCTGTTTTCTAGCCTGATGTTTTTACCACTACACTACTACTATATTCTATATACTGTAAATATGTAGAACATATTTACATGCAGTTTCAAATGTATTCTCTAACTGTGGCCATTGGTGGTGGTTATCACAAAAACACAAGTAACTATAGTTTGATAGTTGGTTAGATAGGATAGAGATGTTGGTTATTTAAAGGCTCATGCTCTATAGGAACTGAATAATCCAAAGAAAAGGTTGTGATGAATCTTTCTCTTATGCTTGTCTTGACTATAGTGATCATATTATTTGTTTTTTTCCAATACCTGTGAACTCAGTTTTTGTTAATGACTGTTTTAATTTATATAAAGAGCATTAGATGGGGTAATCAGTAAGGTGTTATGAGAAATAAAAAAAATAATCTTGCAAATAGAGGGTCTTTGAATAATTTTATATTGATTTATAACAAAGCATATCAATAATATATAAAATACAAATCATCTCATTAAAGAAGGCAGGATTATGACCAGATAAGCTTCCTGTGTTTATGCTTAGTCTGCTATGTAGGTATTAAATGTTATAGGGCAGTTATCTGTTTATGTCTCACTGATCTTCAAGTAGGACTTAGACTTAATGAATTGCATATTAAAAGTTCTATGTTGTTTCCCTCTATTCCAGTCAAATACATGAAGGAAATCTCTCCTTATTTTAAGAATTCCTCTACTGGTGCAACTGTAAGTTGGGATTCTTCACCAGGCTTTCAGAAGCAAGCTTCTCCAACTCTTTCCCTGCAAGACTTCAAGGAAGGGAAGAATATCCCATTAAAAATGTGCTACATATCAAGGAAGTGTCTTCCAAATGATCCAGAAAACAGGTAATCCAATGATCACTCGTTGCCATTATGCTTAAAGAAAGGTATGCGAAATGTATTACAAGGATAATGGTGGACTCAAACTCTCATGAATTCTAGCTTGCATAATCAATGTTCAGAAACGATAGGGTCTGAGTGTGACATCATATAGTATCAATTCCATCAGAAGTCAAAACAAGGCAAAGAAGGATTTGAAATGAGCATTAGAATTACACTGTTGCAAGCAGCTATTATTAGGCCAGTCATATGGAACAAAGCTCATAACTAGCCTTCTGAAAGCTTGGATGTCTCTTTGCATATTGAATCTCATATAGCACAATATCTTGATTACAACTGACATTTCTCAGTACTCTATAAATTAGTGATAAAGCATACATAAATAATAGAATGCATGCATAAAAGGGTATGTGGATTTGCATATTCATACAACTCTGAATACACTAGATGGATTATATATTTACAAAAAGTGTGCTTGGGGGTAAACTACAGTCACTGTATTATCCTAATAGTAAGACATCAGGCAACCACCACTAAAAATCTCTGGTAAAAAGGTAAACAATGTGATTTTGGAAAATCATAATTCAAAAGTCACTGTTATCCTTCTTTCATCCTCAGCAATACGGGGATGATAATAATGGCATCATTTAAAGAAGTTAAAAAGCTAATATTAAAGTGCTTTCAGCAGTCAAAATGGGGTGTCATTACTTTTCATTTGGATAGGAAAATGAGATGTATAATGATATTCTCTACAATGCAAACACAACTGGGTAAAATATAGGTCCTAAAATAATAGTGGGATTGTCAGAGGGGTCACAGATAGATTGTCAACCCCACTATGTACACCAGACCAGGAAATGATCTCTACAGGAAGACCAGAATTAAGATTGGCCATAATAACAGAATCTTGCAAGTCTGAATGTGTTGTTGCTCTCTTTCTTATATCCCAATGATTCAAGAAGGCACCTGCCATTGTCACTTCTTAATATTATCTTGCTTATCAGGAGTTTAAAATGTCTTGGGTCCCCGCCCCCCCCCCCCCCCCCAGTTCTTGCACATTCTCAACAAGGTCATTTTACTTACTCTCTACATAGATCTATTTTATTTACTTATTTAACGGTGCCTTTATAACCACTGGTCACAAAAAAATTGCGAACAGTGTCCATCCAAACATTTGCAAATATACAATAAAACAAAAAGGTACCAGGAATATTAATGTCTCAAACCAAGAAATTTCATTGCTAGAGAGAATGAAATCACAACCTTCTGACAACCAAGATCTGCCGGAATAATCACATTTAATCACCTTTCTGAACCATACACCAAGATGGGGCCACCTGGCTATCTGGAGAATACCGTTCCCCAAAAAGAGAGATAATAACTTGAGATGTGGGATAGTAACTAAAAATAACCATGATCAGTGAGAATGCATTCCCCAAACAGTAGAATATGAACAGAATCTGCTGGGAGTGGGCAGTCTTGTGGATACCCAGATCCTAAACGAAAACATGCTTTAAAAGTGACTGTACCTTGACTTAAAGCCAGAAGCCAACCAGCTGTCAAAATAGTGATGTGGAAATTCAGAAAAAGTGCTGGGCATTTTATGACAACAGCTTGCATTTTGGCTCCCCACATTTCAGTCTTAAGGAAAATTAATCTTGCAGGTACTTAGAAGTGTGCTCAGCAGATGGACGAATCTCCTTATTCCTTCGAGCAAAAGAGGAAGCATCTGCCCAGTCTTGGTTCAATGCTATTCATAGCAATGTTAGCGTTCTGTTGCCAAGAGTCAAAGAGGAGCTGAAGGCCTTACAATCAGGACTTGGCATTGTAGGAAATAGAGACATCAAGCATATTGGCTGGCTTACAGAACAGGTAAGATTGGGGTTCCTGGTTTGATTTGCACTGATTCTAAGTGAGATTGTAGTATTCACTGATCAGGGGAGACAAAGTCATGTTAAGGTCAGGGGTGTGCAACATAGAATTTGCATGCAAATCCCCTTTTTAAATATCTTACAGATCCTCTCTAACCCCAGTTTCAAATAGCATAGTTTCTGCTCATCTGAAAGTAGGAACATATAGATATTTTTTAAGGTTGCTCTTGCTGGAGTGTGTCTCATTATCAGAGGCAGATTTTGCATGCCTCTGAGTCCCATGTTCAGTTCATAGCATTTATGGTACAGCTGATAAAGGCCTTTAAGTGAAACTCAGGAAAGCATTTGTCATTTTGTACAGATGTTTTTTAGACCAGCTGGACTGACGCAGAAGCTTTCTGTGAATCTAGAAAGATATCGTAACAAATTTTTTTAATCATATCGATAGAAGAGTAATAGAAAGAGGATAATTGTATACAAACTCCATGAATTCCTTTGATTATGTTGGTCTAGTACTTGTCACTCCAATATACCTAGTGATGTGCTTTATTCAAAATATACTTTTTACAAGATGCCAGCAAGAACATCACTTCCGTTCTTAGTGGGCATTTTTCAGTGGCATATATGAACTTGGCTGCCATTCTGACAGCTGCACCTTTTACGTTCTTATTTGCAGCTCCCAGGCGATGGGACAAAAAATATCCTTGCCATTCTCACAGAGAAGGAGCTTCTTTTCTATGGCAATCTTCCCCAAAACAGAGATGCTCTGAACAAGCCAACTCAAAGATTCCCTCTTATAGCCACCAGGTAACTACAAATGACAGCAGTTTGGCTTAGGGATGTTGTTCTCTTTTCTTCCAGGGAAGGCATTTTGGAAAAGGTACATTTTTGAATAATGGGTTGCAGCAGGGCTGTCAAACTCGTGGCCTGCAGGCCAGGTGCATCATGCTCTGGCCATGCCCATGCCTGGTTTAGCGAAGGGGAAAAAATGTCCAGATACATCATGTGATGCTGTCATGACAATGCAAGTTTGACACTCCTGGGTTACAGCATCTTTGCTTCAGGGACTGTTCCCTCTTTAATGAAGCAATGTCTTCTGTTCAGCCTGGCTGATCCTTATATTGCAGCTGTCCTAGAGGTGGAACAAAGTGAAAGAGGGAGGTTGTGTAGCAAAATGTTTTATTTGTTGAAGTACACTTGGGGTCAGAAAATCATAAAAGATTGGTCTATTTCAACTTCATGTAAATCGGTAGTGGGATTCAATTTTTTTTACTACCGGTTCTGTGAGTGTGGCTTGGTGGACGTGGCAGGGGAAGGATACTATAAAATCTCCAGTCAGAGGTGGTGTTTGCCGGTTCTCCGAACTACTCAAAATTTCCAAAACCAGTTTTCTAGAGCTGGTCAGAACCTGCTGAATTCCACCTCGGAACTGAACTATTTACTTGCTTAGCCCTAAAAGGCATAACCCTTCTTAAGATTCAGAGCTACATCTTCTGGTGATCTTATCTATTGCTCTCTTTCTGCTACCGGTTCTCCAGAACTGGTCAGAACCTGTTGAATACCACCTCTGATGTAAATGCATTCTGTCTGTCTGTCTGTCTGTCTGTCTGAATCTACCTACCTACCTACCTACCTACTTATCACCCACTCACCCACCCACCCATCCATCCATTCATCTATCTATCTATCATCTATCTATCTTTGTCTCTATCTACTGTAACTTGAAGCTTTTGGAGGCAGCTCCATATGAATGTAATCCTCAGTTTCTGCGTTGGCAGTCAGTGCAAAAGTTATTTCCATTCTTTGCTTGCAAGACATTCATTCTATAGGACTGGGATCTTCCAATAAAGGGAGAACACACCCAGTGCAAAACATACCAGGATGAACAACGTGATATTGATGGGCAAAACTGCTTCTACAAACACCTCCTTTGGCACTTATCAGCTTCACTGCTACACTTGGCTTTATTTGTTTGTTTTAGATAATTTTGATTGGGAAAAAGGAAGCTAATGCATTTTTGATCATACAGGCATTCTTAAATCTCTTAAATAGTCATAGAGAATTTTAGAGGGGGAAAATTATGTAGAGAAATCTGGTTTCTCAAATGCTCAAAAATAGTGCATAGATCTCCATTGGAAGAATGTTTGTCCTGCTGCCCTGAGGGTTTTCTAAGGTTTTACTGCCACCTTGCACCAAGAGACTGAATGACATAGAAGAGGAACATAATTTAGGTCATCCTAAATAGGAAGCTAAGTAAATGACACGTCTTCCCAAGCTCCAATGTGTAAGGAAAGCTACCTATTCAAATCACCCTGTACATATGTGAGATTTCATTATCTTGAGATTTTGATAAAATATTTATTTGAAGAGGGCTGAGAATTCCCTTAATTCTCCTCAATAATTGGCACTCAGAAATGTTTATGTGGCCCTTGCAGTTGAGAAAGAATATTTTTTATTGTTGTGATTAGTCCTTTGCTCCTTGGATTTGCATAGTGTCCTTTTTCTTGTCTTGGATTCAGAGGCCCTCGCCTTCTGTTCACACCTGCTTTTTCTCTTGCTAAGAACAATTTCACCAGGCACTTAAGGGACTAGTTCGTATGCATGGCCCTTCCTGGGATGTTAATTTCATTTTTAAATGTAATCAAGTCTTTTCCTTTGTTGATTTTTTTAAAAAAAGAAATTGCCCAGAGTCATTTTAATAACTTCCAAGAGTCAGTCTTCTGTTGCTAGAGTATGATTGGATCGGTAACTTCAAAGGACTTCATATCTGAGTCCAGATATTAATTAACTCCGTATATCTGCATGAATGAAAAAGAGAAAAAGAGAGCCAGAAAAGGAAAAGGAGGTCTAATTAATACCATTAATATTATTATTATTATTTCTCTTGTTCAGAAGTATAGTGCAAGATAGGGACCCGATGGAGCTACAACAATGGTACAAGAGTGGCCTCTAGTGGCTATTACCACACATGATTAGTCAAACACAAGAAAAAAAAATTTCTGGTGACTGCTACACACTTTTACCTAACAATAAGCTGTCTTTGTACTTGATAAAGAGCCATATCCAGTTGCAATAAATGATCTTTATATCTAAAACTTTCTTTTATTTCACCCTTGATCCATCCAGGCTTGTGCACTCTGGTCCATCAAAAGGTTCTTTATTGTATGACTCAGAACTCTCCTTCGCTTTGCGGACTGGAACCAAGAAAGGTGTGGAAACACATCTGTTTAGTGTGGAGACGCACCGGGATTTAGCCACATGGACAAGAATGCTGGTGGATGGTTGCCATAATGCGGCTGAGTGTGTCCAGGAAGTGTCAACTGGTGAGTAAGCAGATGGGCTTCATGCTTGGGGTTTGCCATAGAAACTTTAATGAACTGGGATGACAGTGTGGGTCTGCCTGCTTGGAAAACTTTTCTGCTTGCCAATTCTGCATTGTAATACCAATATAGAATTAAGCATTCTTTGGCAAGAATCTTACTGTGCTTCTTAATTCAGTAATTTCAAGCATGACAGGGCAACATATTACGAGAGAGGCCAGTATTGGCAACAAAGTTAGTAAACTCAGTCCGTCATGAAAGTTGTAGATTAGTTGCTACCAATACTTTTTGTAGCATTTATGATGCTCAAGAAATGAGTAGTATAGTACTTTTGATTGAAATCCTTTTTTTTTCTTTTTGTCCCCTTCAATATTTGTATTGAAGTAGAAAACAATTTGGTACATAGTGAAGTAATCATACCCGTAGTAATTTGATTTATAATTTGAATTACATTTGAATTCAATTAACATTTACATTTTATCTTCTTGGCTAAAATTGTTGCCTCCTCTCCTAACAAGTATATTTATATATTTTCTCCCCTCTTAGCCTGTACATGGAATGGGAGGGACTGCACCCTGTCCATCCACATTGACAAGGGTTTCACCATTTCCACGCTGGAGCCAGGCCCCACCAATGTTGTTCTTCTGCAGCAACCGTTTGAGAAGCTACAGATGTCTTCAGATGATGGGGCCAAGATGCTTCACTTGGATTTTGGCAGCACAGAGGGAGAGATTGTGGGTTTCCTTTTTTGTTTTATTTAGTGTATATCTCTGTGTGTGTGTGTATAACCTTTGCTTTGATAACTGAAAATAGCCTAAGTGGAAGTTGTCTGTAATTTTATCTCCACTATAAACACTCTTTCAGACAGGATGGATTGAGAAAGTGACTCAACTAAAGTCATCCTGTATGTTCTGTATTCAAATGGGGATGAACTTTAGTCTGCCTGTTCCAAATCCACACCTTAACAACCATAAACTAAGCTTTATTTTCTTCTTTTGTTATTTCAATGAGTTTGCAAGAAGTGATACGGAGTTCCTGTATCTGTATCTTAATGACGCCTATGCAAGGGAACAACATGATTCGCCTTGGCCATTTATGTTGTCTCAAATCTTCCTCCACAGTCCCAATAGTTGGAAGGGACCTGTAAGATGAAGTGATATAGTATGGCTATTTTCTTTTAGAGGCAAGAGTGCTGTGCTATTTCATGAAACAATTCTTAAAGCAAAGTGTCCTGTAATGTATATTGTAGTGGTAGACAACTGGAAGTTTTGAATTCCAATTATTTGCATAAACGATGACAAAACATTGTGGAAATTGGAGGGAATCAAGCTGAATACAGGATGATGTGCCAAAGATGTTGCAGTCCTTGAAAGAAGCTCCTCAGTCTCTGGAACTCTGGTAGAGGCAGGAAGGCAGGACCTGGCCTAGGAATTTGAGAGACATTTTCCCCTTCCCTTGTTGTGCTCTCCTAGCTGCAACATTTGCAATAACAAAAATAATAGAAGCTGCACTGAAAAACTATTTTCTGTAATTTCCTAAACTGTGCCCCCAAAGGGAAAAGACTTTTCTGAGGGAACCTGATATGGTCCCTTTTGCTGAAGACTACAGATGTTTGACCAAAGCCCCTTGTGGGTTTGTTGCTTTGTGAAACCAAACATGGATGTGGTTAAAATAATACGTAGGTCAATATTCTCCAACCCAGGAAGCGTTCAGATCTGAGGACTTCCTTTAATTCCTAAAGTTGTTGGCTGGTGTTGAGAATTTTGGGAGTTGAATTTCTTACATCTAGAGGAGGCAAACATTAGAGAATGCTATTATAAGCCAGAAGGGCCATGCATGATTTTGAATTCCAAATCAGAATTTTACATTCAGATAAGCAAGGCAATGATTGATTTAGAAGCATCCTTTTTTTAAAAGAAAAACCCATTAAGGGAAAATCTTGGTCTGTGCATTGTGCCTATGCATAATATTTAGTTATTGAGCAATTAGAGATTTTATGTGGTGAATTAGAAAGTGTCTTTCTCAGTTCTTATAACGATAAGGAGAAACAGCAACTAAGAAGTTTCAGTGAATAATATTCAACATCTTGGTTAGTTAGGGTTAACCCTAACCCTCAAACACTTTTAGGGGAGCTCTCCTCAACTGCTCTGACCTATCCCAATCATTAGGACTTCCTTTCTTTCTGTCCCTCCACTATTTATATAAGAATAAACATGAAGTTTGATAGCAAAGTGGATTATATAGAGATGCAACTACTGGTGCCTTCACATTGATGTAATAGTACATGTAGATATTTAAAATATAGATGGAGTGCATCATCATCATCACCACCACCATTATTATCATTATCATTATTATCATTATTATTATCATCAATTCACCATAAACAATGGCTGGAGTAAATTTAATTAGCCAAGGACTGTATTCTTACAGTTTTGGTCTATAATTCTTGTTACCTACAAGACATAATGAAAATTGATCTGCAATATGTTAATGCTGTAGGCTTCTTATATACTAATGAATACATTAGAACTGACTAACCCCTACAACACTGAGTGCAGTTACTTTGCTGGAGATATTCAGGAAGCAATAAATTTGATAGATATTCTGTTTTTGCTCCTTGCTAGCAATTACACAGCTAGTGGCATAGACTAATTTAGGAAATGTAGGGAGGTAAAATGTTGTGTATGGCTTAATCATCAATATCTGTATTTCCTTTCACTGCAGCAACTAGATCTTCATTCCTGTCCCAAAACAATTGTCTTCATCATCCACTCATTCCTCTCTGCCAAGGTGACCCGGCTTGGGTTATTGGCATAGGGATGAAGAGCAAATTCTGGAGAGAAGCAAAACTTCGTGCAATCTATGCAGTAAGATTCTACCTTCATGGTGAAAATAAAGGGTTGAAATACAGACTGAAGCAAGAACAACATGGTGCAAAGCATCCACAGCTGAAAAAAAAACTGCTAAACTTCCAGGACAACTGAAGAAAGCAAATGGACAACTGTCCAGAATTTTCATCTTAACGCTTGACAACTGATACCAAGACAGGATATGAAATCTCCATCCCATCTCCTACATCAGATATGATTCTGGTGAAGGTGTCAAACCAATCCAATTTAGCCATCACATTAGTGCCTTGAAGATGATATTTTATATACACACACACACACACATATATATATATCTCAAATCTGTTTGTATCGAGGTTTTATATTTATATATAGTTCATTTGCTGTCTTTGTGGCTTTTAGTCCAGAATTTCAACACTATTTTAGACCCAAGCTACTACACTGTACTGACTTATCTGGGATTAATCCATTGAACCCAGAAGGATTTACTTTTCAGTGAATATTCATTGGGTTGAATGGAAAATTCAGCAAAAGTGCATAAGATTTAGCATAAAGCCATTTTTTTTTACAAGCAGCAGTCATAAGTTAAAACCAACCTTTTTTATTTATCTAAAATTTGGAGATAGTTACAAAAGACTTTTTTTTAAGGAAACAAAAGGAAATAACTTTAATTTTGCTTAATTCTAGCCCCATAGTTTTTATTTGTCAAATAGAGGTGCTTTTGACAAAGGAAGTAATTAATTTTATAAGCTAAAATTGTGCATGAAATTTGTTTTCATTTTTGTCAGAATAAATCTAGATTGCTGAAGATGGCTAAAGCAAACCTTTTCCAATTTATCTTGAAAGTAATGTTTGGAATTTCTCATTGAGCTTGAAATTTATCAATTTTTGATGCAACAGTGGCTTTCTCATCTCAATTAATTTTAATTGGAGTGGCTTTCTAGCTGCCAACTGCTGCCATGGTTATTATCAGTCTAATCAGGGTCCTGTTGTTTAATAATTTTAACTATATTAAAACTGGCTACACAACTTTTCACGTTTTGCTCTTCTAATAAATTTTAATTTATATATTAGTCAATTAAGATTAGGGGAACTGTAACACAGACATTCTAAACACAGCATGACTGTTAACTAAATGAACACTGACAATGAGAAATTTTTTAAATGTCAAATGTACATAGAAATTTTAAATGGTCATTACAGTGGTTCTTAGATAGCATCCCAGGATCCAGAAGGTTGGGCAATTGTTCCCATGGTGATTAAGCTAGATCCAACCAACCTAATCATCATTTACCCAATGCTACTTTAAAGGGGGGGGCAGATGAAATCACATGTTGTGCCTCTTCAATCCCAGAAGAAGCTATGCTTGATTTATTCAGCTTTTCTGTTTCAGTTCCTGCACAACCTCAGCCGTTTCCTCACTATTGTCAATAAATGCAGAAGTCAAGGGGTAAATATTTCTCCTACCTAGGATTATAGGGTTACTGCAATGAACAAACAAATATAGCATGCCATTTTGTCTTGCAACGGAGAGGCAGGAATGGCGCCTGGGATTTTATGGACACAGAATATGTGCTGTGGAATTGGGTGATTTTATGTACATAACTCCCCAACTATATCATCGTCTGTATGCTATTAGTATTCACCAGAGCACAAAATAACACTGCAAGAAATAGATTGCTGCTAAACAAACAATGATTAGATTATATTGCACTTATAACAATAACTTCAGCTGATGGGATAATAGAAATGATTTATGAAGACATCCACTTTATGTATATAAATGAGCAAGAAAGAGAAATACATAAACGGTGGGAAAGATACACAGATCCTATAGCTGTGAAGGACAAAAAGACTTTTGTTTCAGGTGTATAGTGCTAAGAACAGGCATACTGTGAGTCTTCAAAATCATAGTGATTGTCTTAATCTGCCTCTTAGCTGGTTCCAGAGGATCCAGCTGTTTCTACAACTGACCCCAGATTTCCTACAAAAGGGGACTTTGGAAAGCTTGCTGAGATGAATGTCTCTTTAAAATTTGATAAGCCCATTTTAGAAGAGTAAACCATTTTTTGATATAGTGTGACAATTCATTCCCCCGATTGATTCTTCTCTGCACTTTTGCTACAACACAGGGAAAGCTTTTGTGTGTTTTTCTACAGCCTAGAAGGTTGTTGTACTGTGTTAGTTCTGCTGGGTTTTCCTTTGTTTTACTTCTTAACAATATGGTGGCAATATCAAGAGAAGCTTCACATACCTTTTACGAAGGTATTTTGTTAACAAAATCTTACTACTGAAATTTGTTATTTTGCTATTGAATTTTAGCCGCATATTTGGAACTTTGAGGTTTACAAAAATGTGGTGGGAGGGGGTAGGCACATTCATTAAATAAGTTGATTTTTCACTCTCTTTTAGCAAAACAAAAACAAAACTCTCCCCCAAGGCAACCATAGGTAATGAGAAGAAATATTCTTGGCTGTCAGTCAACTACAACTACATATACTCATGGTGCGAGCCTATCAATTATCGCAAACTTTCTTTCGAGAAACTTTCACTGTTTAGCAATAAATGATAGCATGTGTACAGGGGTGGGATACGACAGGGTTAACTACCGGTTCGGGATTTACGAGTTTCCCTGCCCACTGTGAGCCGCATGCCTGTAAATCGTCATTAGCACACCGTGTGCGAGAAGCAGCCTTCGAAACAGCCCTCTTGTTTTTTTAACTGCAGCTGTGCCTGATTTGGCAGCTGAAGTTGAAAAATCAGGAAATAAAGATCAGGTAAGAGCCCGGGTGGGCAGGTGGGCAAAAACATCAGCAGACATAGAACCGGTTCTATGTCTGCTGCTCTTCAGAGCTACCGGTTCTACAGAGGTGGACAGAACCGGTAGAAACCCAGCCCTGCATGTGTATATACAGACTCTTATCATTTATATTAGCCATCCCCAATCCAGTACCTTCTCTTTAGATTGACTGAAAGGCCCTGCTCACTGGGAATTCTGAAAGCCTACAGAATTGGAGACAACAAGTTGAGGAAGACTGATTAATACAGATTGCAGAATCAATTCCGCATATGGGAACCCTGTCCCCCATGCTTTCTTTTAATAAGTAGGTACATGGACTTGAAAATTGTTGTATTTATACTGACGTTTCACAACAGACATCAGTCTTTCATGTTCACAGTTCAGCCTTGCCTGTTTTTATGATTGTACAGTCAGCGCAAGAAAAAAGAGAGAAAAGAAACAAGCAAAACAGAAAAGCCACACAAGTCTATTTTCATGCTTTTTTCTTTTCCCTTAACCAAAACTATAATGGTACTTCGTTGTGGATTTGCATTCAGCATATCAGCATACTTTATATTCACACGAGCTAATTCCCCCTTCTTTTCAAATTGCAGTCAAGTGTTGGGAAAATATTAAAGGTTAAGAGAGTATATACTACAGAAATTTTATACAGGCTGAGAATTCCTCTCTTTTGTAGGAAACACTGTATGCAAATTTCATGCAAAACATTACTTGTGCATACTCAGTTTCTTTGTAGGTCAAGAGAGTATTAGTTTTTGAAGTAATACATATGGTATACATATTTTTTGCAGCTCATTTCATCAGGGGTATGGATACCACCCAGTGGTGGGATTCAAAAAAATGTATTACTAGTTCTTGGGGGGCGGGGATTTGCAGGCATGGCATGGCTTGGTGGGCATGGCTTGGTGGGCATGGCAGGGGAAGGATACTACAAAATCTCCATTCCCTCCCTTCTTCTGGGGGAAGGTTACTACAAAATCCCATTCCCTCCCACCCCACTAACCTGCTTTCCAGCTCCATTCTCCTGTGCAGGACAACAAAAGAAGACCCAGCTGATCAGCTGGGACTCAGGAGACAGAGAATAGATGGGAGCGGGGCCAGTCAGAAGTGGCATTTGCTGGTTCTCCAAACCACTCAAAATTTCCACTACCGATTCTCCAGAACTGATCAGAACCTGTTGAATACCACCTCTGATACCACCCACCTATTCCCCTGGAAATCCTTCCATTATTCTACCTGACCTTTGGTGTATTTTGGCAAGCGGAAACACTTGCAATGTGGGCAGCTGCCCACCATTTTTGTTTTGTAAGAATTCCCGAGGCATTCATACAAACTAATTTGGAGTAGTAGTTATGGCACCAGACTAGAAACTGAGGACAAGTCCTGCCTCAGGCACAAAGCCAGCTGTCTGACCTTGGGCCAGTCATTCCCTCAGACCCAGGAAAAAGGGAAAGGCAAAATACTTAAGAAAATATTGCCAATAAAACTCCAGGGGCTTGTCCAGGCAGTTTCCAGAAATCAATACTAATTTTAATCCCCCCTCCATCAAACCTGGCGGTAATTTTTGCCATATGCCCACTTCTCTCTTTAAAAAAAGAAAAAGAAATCTATTAATATAGTCAGGATAGGTAGGCAGACTGAAATGGGGGCCTCAATACCTGCCCCAAAATATGTAAAACATTAAATTTTGAAAGTTTTCAGCTTCTTTAAAACTCTTTATAAGGTAAGTTGTTAAAAAAAAAACAGAAAATGAAGAAAATACATTAGACCAAATCAGAGGCAATCATGGGGATGGGAGAAAGTTGAAACAATAAAGATGGCTGTTGTGGAGAATATATTGTGATGAGGTGAACAAAACATTCCTTCCTTTAATTACCTTCCCAGAGGCTTAGAAAACAACCTTGTCAGCTCAGTCATAAATTACTTAAAAAGACAAGCAAAATTGATAAAGCTGGGAGAAGACACTAAGCAACCAAGGCCTTGAGAAACAAGGCCAGTATAATATAAACCTATAGAGGCATTTTCCTAGAAATGTACTGTATGGCTGTTTTTTCAGTACATTGTTGTTGCAGTTCCACATTCTTTTCTCTTGGAATCCACCCCATGATTTGACTTGATCGAATTACACAAAGTTTAACCCAATCATGTGCATATTTTAATTTGTATAATACTACATAAACACTTTTAATCATTGCCCCTTTTTAGGTTTAATTTTTCTGTTTTTGATATAGTACTAAACAACTGATGTTTCACTACTGGTCTCTAGTTTAAATGGATTCTTGGGGCAATTCTTCTACAACAGCTGTGGCCATGCAATTGAAGCAGAAAACACATCTTTTAAAGGGGGTATGGCTTTTTACAGCATGACTGTCATCTTGATCTACATCCACATATGCCTGGCTTCTAATATTACTTATTTAAAATGTAATTGCCCAGTATTTAAGGATATCTTTTTCTGAACAGAAAACTCTTAAACTTCATAAATATTTGCTTCTATATTATTTTATTATACAGATATTAGTAGAATATCACAGAAGTACAATTAACTATTAGAATTCAACCCTATAAGAAACCTTTGTATTATTTCTTAAACGAATCTCAGTATAAAAGAAAACAAGTCTTTGAATTTATTTTAATTTTCTGAGTTAAAAATAAAAAAAAAGTAAACTGCATTTCCTACATATGCCAGGAAGATCTTGTCCTAATATGATACAAGATCTCAGTTCCCTTCATGTAGCAAAGAGAGTAAAACCCATTCCTCTCAAACTCCTAAAAACCTCAATTTTCTGTGTCTTTGGTTTTTGATATTTATATGTGAAGAACATAGACTTGGTTTTGGGAAGAGGGAGGGAAGCAACAAACTATTAAGGAAGGAGAAACAGCAACTCAATCCTGAGAATGTGAAAAGCATAAGAAAGAAACTTGAAGTAATCCTGTCTTGATTTTGCTTGGTATAAGATGAAACAGCTTTCAATATTCTGTTATTCTTTTTTTTTTTAGAAAAAACTTTATTAATTTTACTTTTAAAAAAACAACACAGCTATAAATTATATACAACAAAAAGACAAACAGGTCTTGGCATAGGCCAAGAGGGAAAGAGAGGAAGGCTTGAGAGAGGAAAGAGGGAAAGGTAAGGGAAGGGGGGGTAAGAGTAGGGACCTTACAGACAGTCACAAAAATATGGTTTTATTATAATTGTTTTCCCTAATATTCTGTTATTCTATCCCACCACAATAAACTGTTATTGGAATCCCTGCTACCCCTGCCTCAAAGGGCTAACATTATAGTCTTTAGGTTGGCAATTCTCTGCAGTTGTCAAAGGTCAAGAACTATTGACCAACATCCCAAACCAACTCAAATGCAAACTAATTAATCAATAAGCAGAGATTAGGGTTGCATTTAGTGAGGTACTTAAAGCCAACAGAGTACCTGACTAATACTGATGTGTTTTATCTTAGCCAACCTCTATTTGCTGAACATTCCTTCAGCATTCAAATTGTCTTTGATTTTCTGGAAAAAAGAAAATTTTCCTGAGCACGAAGGATTCTGTTAATGTCCAATATTTCACAGCATTGTTATTTTTGGAATGATTTATAAACTCCCTGGCTTTTCTAGCTGCTGGGCCATCACAAGAGCAAACTTTGGCAGGATCTCCCCCGTCCCCCCACACACACACACACAGGGAAGGAGGGAGAGAGAGAGAGAGAGAGAGACCGACAATACTCTTTGTCTCTTTACACTATAAAATGCTCCAAAACATGCCATCAAACAAAATTATAATGTGTTTTGAAAAATGAGCCAGAAAAATAAAAGACTGCTTTGCAGAGGAAGA